AATGGAGAAGGCCAATGATCGGAGTCATCCAGGGCTGGGATTTATATGAGGAAATAACTGCTCAAAATCTCTTCATATATGTTTAAAACACACATCTTATATAGCTGTTCTCCAAATTAAACAAATCCTTTCTTTTAAATTTTATGGTATCTATTTCCCATCCCTTTGATAGTTGTTTTGATCTTCCCAGGCTTTTCTCCAGGTTTCCCATTATCTTTCACAAATTAGAGAAGCAGTACCGTGCAGTGGTTAAGATGAGACTTCTGGCACCAGTCTGCTAGGGACAAATCTTACATCTAGAACTTACTTCCTGTGTAATCTTAGACAAATCACGTAGTCCCTATGTGCTTCAGGGGTTTTTTTTTTTGCGGTACGCGGGCCTCTCCCTGTTGCGGCCTCTCCCGTTGCGGAGCACAGGCTCCGGACGCGCAGGCTCAGCGGCCATGGCTCACGGGCCCAGCCGCTCCACGGCATGTGGGATCTTCCCGGACCGGGTCACGAACCCGTGTCCCCTGCATCGGCAGGCGGACTCTCAACCACTGCGCCACCGGGGAAGCCCTGCTTCCGTTTTTTCATCTGTAAAATGGGTGGTGTGATAATAATAGCATCCCCCCACCCACCCGCTACTTAGAGGGTTGCTCTGAGGTTTAAATGAGCTAATGTATGTACTATGCTGAGTATGACTTGTTATTGTAATTTAAATGAAATACTCAAGCTGGGAGCAGAATGAGATATGAAGGATTACATTCTGGCCTTTATGTCTAAACAATATTTAATACATCCCAATATTGCACAGTTTCTCTTTCTCCTTCTCCCACAAAGTCATGAGGAAAGGTCTAAGTCTTATATTTATTTGAGTCATTCTTTCACATCTTTTATTCAAGGCGCTAATTTTTGTCTCTAAGTATTTACAACTGGACCAGATTGGTTCCTGGCCTTTATCTGCATGGCTTTTGCTTCCAAATCCATCTCTTCTTTGCTAACCGCTTCTGAAAATGCTGCACCTTTTCTTCCTTACAGATAAACTGAAGAGTCCTGATTATGGCACATTTTTATAAAGCACAAAGTCTTCGATTAGTTTGTATGCCCTCTTAAGGCAGGTAATGTGATTTCTACCCATTAGTAGCCTTAGTGCCCGGGAAGTTGTTCTACATAAAGTACGAAATGAAACCAGTAGATGGTGATAATGTTGATGGTGGTGGTGATGATGATGATAGTATCACAACTTCTCATCCTTAGTTTCTCTATCCATTGATCTTTATGGGGGCAACAGAGGGTAGAGAAGGGAATATGGGGCTCTGAGGTTCAAGTCCTAGTTCTATCACTGACCAGTTGTATAGCCTCAAATTTAAAGACAAACACAACACTGTAAATTGTTCAGTAACTTACTAGCTACTTTCTCTCTCTCCCCTCACATTCTTACCCACCATTACTCTTAGAACCACTAACAGAACAATCTCCTTCCCAAGCCCCTTCCTAAAACTTCCTACGCCTGCCTACCAAGAGTCAGGGTGGGGATTCATTTTTCTGCCTACAGTCCTTCATGCCACCGCCTTGTCACTCCCAATCTCGTGTATTTCCCCCTCACTCACGAAGCAGGTTTATTTCATGTTACGTTTATTTTTAAATGTCTCCCTTCAATTCTTCTTCTCAGACAATACCCTATTTTGCAACATGCTTGCCTCCTTCTGCTAAGATCTCTAACTCGTTTTCTGCCTCTATTCACAGTTGCTGAATTTCTGTGCTGATACCTTTTGGAATTGGAAGACTTTATCATTTTCCCCTAAATATCAGACATGACTTCCATTTTCTCAAAATGTGAAAAATACACTTTTTTGCCTTTAACAGGATATCTGTTCAACGTGAGTTCAGCTGCACTGTCTGTAAATGTTTTATAATAAGTGCTAAAGAGGAGACATGATCTCATCTACTCTGTACTACACTCAGTGTAGGAAGATATATAAAGATAATTCATAAACTTCTGATTGTGTGATGCCTTGAGAAAGGGAAAAAATTAAAACATCTTTAGCTCTGACAAGAATCATATATATACAGATGGCCAAGAAGCACATGAAAAGCTGCTTACCATCACTAATTATTAGAGAAATGCAAATCAAAACTACAATGAGGTATCACCTCACACCAGTTAGAATGGGCATCATCGGAAAATCTACAAACAACAAATGCTGGAGAGGGTGTGGAGAAAAGGGAATCCTCTTGCACTGTTGGTGAGAATGTAAATTGATACAGCCACTATGGAGAACAGTATGGAGGTTCCTTAAAAAACTAAAAATAGAATTACCATATGACCCAGCAATCCCACTACTGTGCATATACCTAGAGAAAACCATAATTCAAAAAGACACATGCACCCCAATGTTCATTGCAGCACTATTTACAATATCCAGGACATGGTAGCATCCTATATGCCCATCGACAGATGAATGGATAAAGAAGATATGGTACATATATACAATGGAATATTACTCAGCCATAAAAGGGACGAAATTTGGTCATTTGTAGAGACGTGGATGGATCTAGAGACTGTCATACAGAGTGAAATAAGTCAGAAAGAGAAAAACAAATATCGTATATTAACGCATATATATGGAACCTAGAAAAATGGTAGAGATGAACCAGTTTGCAGGGCAGAAATTGAGACACAGATGTAGAGAACAAATGTATGGACATCAAGGGGGGAAAGTGGTGGGGTGGGTGGTAGTGGGATGAACTGGGAGATTGGGATTGACCTGTATACACTGCTGTGGATAAAATGGATGACTAAAAAGAACTTGCTATATAAAAAAAAATCATATATTTCCATCTTTGATTACAAAATAATGACATACACCCTTCTGTCACACAAAAAAATTAAATACTAATGAAGATTTTTAATACAAGAAAAGAAGGTGGCCATTTCACATTAAAATCTTTATATGAGAGCAGAGTTTTCATTTCTAGTTTAAAGTACTTATTCAATTAAGGCTGTGAAATACTGAAGAAAGGAGGGGCAAGATGGAAGAAAGGAAAGAAAGAGGAAGAAAACACAAAAACATCTTGTAAAATTCTGAGTAAATGATTCTATATACAGTGGCATTTAACGTGAGAAATTTCACCCACACAAATCCCGAATTGTGCTTTCAAATATTTTTAAACAGCATCTTTGTTTTGCACCTTTCTGAATGTATTTCTGGCTTGATTAAAGTACCTCTCTGACTTTACCCCTAAGTTATGAGTACTCTATTACATATAATAATCCCATAGCCATTCTCCTTTCAAATAAAGACATTATTTTATATGTCATGTCTATTAAGCAACTATTTTTTAATTAATTAATTAATTATTTTTGGGGGGCAGTATGTGGGCCTCTCACTGTTGTGGCCTCTCCTGCTGTGGAGCACAGGCTCCAGATGCGCAGGCTCAGCGGCCATGGCTCACGGGCCCAGCCGCTCCACGGCATGTGGGATCTTCCCAGACCGGGGCACGAACCCGTGTCCCCTGCATCGGCAGGCGGACTCTCAACCACTGCGCCACCACGGAAGCCCAAGCAACTATTTTTTTTAAACAAACGTACCCAAACTTCCAAATGTAGAGGAACATGATTTTCCTGGAGAGCTTTATGCTTATTCCAAGAATGCATCCACTTCTCAAAATATTTTTTGAATTCCTCTTTGGAATCACGTTCAGTTAAATGAAAGCTACCTAGGATAGCCAAGCTTATTACTTTTATAGAGCTCTCATATATGTATATATGCATTACTCACAAAATTCAATCAACTTGACTTCAAATTACATTTTTGGCTGCATCCAAAAATCAATTTACCTCAAATGCAAAGATTTTCTACTATGAAAATTATTTTTTAAGAATGTGAAAGCTTTCTGAGAGTGGCACCCCTAAATCATTAGAAACAAAACTAGCAGGTTAGAGTAAGGTTTAAGTCTCAAAGCTTCCAAGGCAGATAATTCTGGGGATTAGATGGGTGACATTAATTTCTAAGTATAATCTTGAAATACTTTACAAAATAGCCACATTTCTTTACGTTCATACTTCTCTTTGCCCCTCAAATGGTTGGATTTTATAGTAATAAACCACTTTTAGTAATAAACCATTTTTTCAAAATCTTAAAATGGTTTTAAACGGGATATGAATTTTAAATTTCTCACAAAGATTATGGGGGTGGGGGTGGGGAGGAAATGCACCAAAGTGTGTAAGGATAAAAATTTTCGACTCCTAACCTAAGCACCCAGGGCATGTGTCAGAGGTGCAAGTTCTAGAAATCTGAAGTTCTGCTGAATGCTGGTGATTTAGAGGGGCCTTCGAGCAATTCTTAAGGTCTTCATTCTTTCCTGAAAGTCTATGTATATGCACCAGTTGCATTCAACGAATTTTCTTGTTTGTTTCACAGTGTGATTCCTGTAATATGAGCTTTTCAGTAATTGTGAATTCTATTTTTGTCATTTTTGGCACCTACAGTTCACAATGCTTGGTTGCGTGATTAAACATCGTTTTAAGTTTTGCACTTTACATTCCTTTCAGCACTTCTGAAGGAAAGGACACTGCCTTGTATGTTGTTTGGGGGAAGTGGTAAGCCTCCCCCTCTGTCTCTTTTGTAAATGTTTGGCTTTATGAAACACACGATTCTCCCCCGGAATCCTGTATTGTTCATCGAAGCGGGTGAAAATTTGCCTTCACAAGCTATGCATCCCAACCCTTCTTGGAGGCTGGTATCCCCGGCTTCAGATTTAGGCTGTTCAGCTGCTGCTGTCGCAGGATCTGGTGGCCCCTCCGGGCACAACTGGATTTTTGCGAGCCCACATGGCCAAGTCCCCTCCCACCACGCTGGTCGGGCTGGAAGAGGACATCCTGCTGCAGGCCCCCAGGTGGTTGCTATAGCGGTTTTCGAAGGGGACTGCAGCTTCTATCCGGCACAGCCGGGCCCCGGTTGGGCAGGAAAACGTCCATGTTCCTAGTCCGGTAGCCCTCTTCCCGGATGCGCCCTAGGAGCATCGAAATGTTTGGGTTGCGAATGGCACAGATGACAGGGTTGATGGCCCCATTGGCCCAGGTCAGCCATACGGCCACCACGTTGAGGAGCGAGGGAGCCTGCGTGGCTTGGGCCTGCCGGGCCGCGGTCAGCAGCACCAGGAAGCAGTAGGGCCCCCAGCAGCAGATGACGAAGACAATCATGATGAGCACTGTGGTGGCCGTGCGCACGTCGCTGAAGAAGCGCAGCACGCGCGCGCAGGTGGTCAGGGGCCGCACGCGCAAGTCCGACAGGCGCACAGTCCTGCAGACGTGGTAGTGGTAGAAGCACATGAGCAGGAAGGGCAACAGGTAGCAAGCCACCACCAACCCCACACTGTAGGCCGCGCCCAGTTGCGCGGGGTCCGGGGACGTCCGGTACAGGCAGCCGTGGAAGCTCTGCGCCGCCGGGGACTCCGAGGTAGCACGGAGCAGCTTCCAAGGCAAGGAGAAGCTCAGCGCCGCCAGCCAGGCGCCGGCCAGCAGCTGCAGCGCGCGGCGGCGCCCGATCTTCTCCCGCTCGGCCGCACGATGGCGCAGTAGCGGTCCAGCGAGATGAGGGCTACGCTGAGCGTGGACACGATGCCGAAGCACGAGCTGAAGAAATGGCTGGCGGCGCAGGGCCCCGCGGCGGCGGCGGGCGCCGGGCCCTCGGGCGGCGTGAAGAGGTCCAGGAAGGCGGCTGGCAGGCAGGGCAGCGCCGTGAGCAGATCCGACAGAGACAGGGACAGGATGAACGCGTTGGTGAGGGTGCGGAGCTGCCGGTGCTTCACGATCACCCCTATCACCGCGCAGTTGCCCAGGCTAGACAGCAGGAAGATGAGCAGGAGGACAAGCCGCCCCCGCCGTCCCCTGAGATAGCAGCGGCGCCGCCGCGGAGCCCAGCGGTGGCCTCCCCGCCGCGCCGTGCCCGCCGAGGCCGCCGCCAGCCGAGGCGCCAGTGCTGTCGCCCCCGCTCCCACCGCTCTGGTTCCCCAGCGCCGCGGCCGACGCGGTGCTGAAGGAGAGCACGGCCGCCGCCGTCGCCGCAGAGGAAGTCCGGCCAGGCGTGCCGGCCGCGGAGGGGGCGCCGACAAGGTTGTGCTCACTGTTGGGCGCACCGGCGGCGGCGGCTGCTTCTCCATGGGGCCCCGCGGCGGCCGCAGGTCTGCTCATCCCGCACCTGGGGAGGCGCCCGCAAGCCCGAGGCGGCTCGGGGCCGGGGTCAGGGGCCTCTGCCTGGAGTTGCGCTCGGCCGGAGGGTTGACCGTAGCCCGCGACCCGCTGAGCTTTTGACGTGCGTTCCAGGCGTTGCCAAGGGAACCGCGTGTTTACGCGAGAGCGCGGGGCGGGGACGCCGGCCGAGTACCCTCAGAAAAGCCGGTCCAGGATGTTACCTCTCCCCGAGGTTATGCGGCCAGGGAGGTGGGCTTCAGAGAGTGCCAGGTCGACCCCCTCAGGGACCACTGCCCAGCCAGATCAGATAAAGCGGGAACTGGTCCTCACACAGATGGCCAAATTCAACAAGGGTTCACTCTCAAGCTCTCTTGGATACACATGTCCTACGGGGGGGGGGGCGCTGAGCGTGGACACGATGCCGAAGCACGAGCTGAAGAAATGGCTGGCGGCGCAGGGCCCCGCGGCGGCGGCGGGCGCCGGGCCCTCGGGCGGCGTGAAGAGGTCCAGGAAGGCGGCTGGCAGGCAGGGCAGCGCCGTGAGCAGATCCGACAGAGACAGGGACAGGATGAACGCGTTGGTGAGGGTGCGGAGCTGCCGGTGCTTCACGATCACCCCTATCACCGCGCAGTTGCCCAGGCTAGACAGCAGGAAGATGAGCAGGAGGACAAGCCGCCCCCGCCGTCCCCTGAGATAGCAGCGGCGCCGCCGCGGAGCCCAGCGGTGGCCTCCCCGCCGCGCCGTGCCCGCCGAGGCCGCCGCCAGCCGAGGCGCCAGTGCTGTCGCCCCCGCTCCCACCGCTCTGGTTCCCCAGCGCCGCGGCCGACGCGGTGCTGAAGGAGAGCACGGCCGCCGCCGTCGCCGCAGAGGAAGTCCGGCCAGGCGTGCCGGCCGCGGAGGGGGCGCCGACAAGGTTGTGCTCACTGTTGGGCGCACCGGCGGCGGCGGCTGCTTCTCCATGGGGCCCCGCGGCGGCCGCAGGTCTGCTCATCCCGCACCTGGGGAGGCGCCCGCAAGCCCGAGGCGGCTCGGGGCCGGGGTCAGGGGCCTCTGCCTGGAGTTGCGCTCGGCCGGAGGGTTGACCGTAGCCCGCGACCCGCTGAGCTTTTGACGTGCGTTCCAGGCGTTGCCAAGGGAACCGCGTGTTTACGCGAGAGCGCGGGGCGGGGACGCCGGCCGAGTACCCTCAGAAAAGCCGGTCCAGGATGTTACCTCTCCCCGAGGTTATGCGGCCAGGGAGGTGGGCTTCAGAGAGTGCCAGGTCGACCCCCTCAGGGACCACTGCCCAGCCAGATCAGATAAAGCGGGAACTGGTCCTCACACAGATGGCCAAATTCAACAAGGGTTCACTCTCAAGCTCTCTTGGATACACATGTCCTACGGGGGGGGGGGCGAGGGGGGGTTGCTTTGCTTCCTGTGGGTGTTTCTGGCATCTACAGGTAGGAAAGGAACCTAGAACCTGAAGTGGAAAACAATCTAAATTCGGAGATCTTAAACTTGAGGGAGCAGAAAAACTTAAACCAGGTGTTCTCAAACTTGAGCATGCAACAGAATCATCTAGGGCTTGTTAAAACACAGTTGACTGGGCCCAACCCCAGATGTTCAGATTCAGTAGATCTGGGGTCTTGTCTGAGAATTTGCATTTCTAACAAGTTGCTGGGTGGTGATGATATTGCTGGTCCGAGGACCACACTTTGAGAACCACTGATGTAGTAAGCTTATTAAAATGCACATTGGCTGGCTGACTCCCAGGAGTACTGAGGATGGGCCCATGAATCTAAACCCCAAAGGTGATTCTGATACAGGTGCTTTGAGGAGCTAGGATATGGATCCTGGAGGCAGGATGTCACCTTGTTTTCAAGGACCTGGACCCCAGGACCATTACTCTCTCACACGTGTTAGGGAAGAGGGGAGAGTCACTGGTTCCTTGCCCTGCTGGCAGCCTTCATCAGTTCTCTGGAATGTGGTATGTTTTGAGTTTAAGGTGCTGCCAGCCAAGCAGTCGCCACAGATGCAGCTCCAGGTATCTGGCGGGAAGATACAGGAACAGGAAGGGCCTGCCTGCCCAGGGAAGCTGCATCTCAAGTTTCTGGGCATGGCCTCTAATGAGGGAAAGTGTGATAAACCCTTGGGTTCTCTAAAGCAGTGGTCTGCAAAGTGTGGACCCTGGACCAGCAGCATCAGCATGACCTGGGAACTTGTTAGAAACGCAGATTCTCAGGCCACACCCCAAATCTACTGAATCTGAAACTCTGGGGATGGAGCCCAGCCACGAGCCCTGAAAGTGATTCTGATGCTCGTTTGAGAAACGCTGATCTCAAGAATGACTAGTATACTTTCAGGTCTTAGAATCAACAATATTAGTGTTTTGGGCACTTATTTTAGTGAGGAAAAATATATTACTGGAAACTTAAAGTATAAGTAAAGTTCATTTAAGGTGGTAAAATAAGACTGGGTTTCTCGGTCTTAGCATTATTGGCATTTTGAGCCAGGTAATTCTCTGTTGTGGAGGCTATCCTAGGCACTGTAGGATGTTTAACAGTAACCCTAGCCTCTACCCACGAGATGGCAGTAGTGACAACTAAAAATGTCTTCAGACATTGCCAAATGTTCAGGGGGACAGGGGGGCCAACCTCAGCTGAAAACCACTGAACTAAGCCAAAAATATATAACAGATTAGTTTATTTAGGTTTTCAGAAACAACAAATAAGGATCCTAGCCCAAAGACCTTACAGTTTTAGGCAAACACAAATATAATACAATGTCATAAACGTTGTTTAAAAATATAAGGACTGTAGGAAGAGAATCTGGCAACTGGGAGACCAGTTAAGAAAAGGCATTGTGGGACTTCCCTGGTGGCACAGTGGTTGGGAGTCCGCCTGCCATGCAGGGCACACGGGTTCGAGCCCTGGTCCGGGAGGATCCCACATGCTGTGGAGCAACTAAGCCTGTGCACCACAACTACTGAGCCTGTGCTCTGGAGCCCACGAGCCACAGCTGCTGAGCCCACGTGCCACAACTGCTGAGGCTCGCGTGCCTAGAGCCTGTGCTCTGCAACGAGAAGCCACTGCAATGAGAAGCCTGCACACCACAACGAAGAGTGGCCCCCGCTCCTCGCAGGTAGAGAAAGCCCGCGTGCAGCGGTGAAGACTCAACGCAGCCATAAATAGATGAATAAAAATAAATGAATAAATTGATTTGGAAAAAAAAGAAAAAAGAAAAGGCATTATAACAGCCCAGGGGAGAAATGGAAGAGTCTGAACTAAGGCATTTACAGTGAAGAAGGAGGCAGTATATGGATTAGAGTCTTTGGATATAAACGATACATTGAGGGCACTGTCTCATTTAAGCAAAAGCAGAATTTACTGGAAGGATAGGGGGAGTTCAAAAGGATAGTCTAACAGCCAACCCCAAGAACAAGAGAAGTCAGGGCAGCTCTACAGGTAGAGATAGCAGAAAGGAGCTGAGGGTGATCTCTTTAGGGCTCTATAGGAATAAGTCTGCTTCAACCATTTTTCAGACCTTATGTCATTTCTTTCAAGATCCCAGGACTTAGAGGAGACAGTCTGATTGGAGTACCCCTTGTCTGGCAGCCCCATAAAGACTATGTGCAGGGGATGGATGGTTTCCCAAAGGAAAAGGAGAGTGCTGTTGATAAAAGAAGGAGAAAGGAATGATGCCAGCCAAATCCACAGACATCCACCTCAGAGCATCAACAGACAGGACAAAAGAGCATGAAAAAGGAGCCAAGGATAGATCCCAAGTTCCTGGCTCGATGGATGGTGGTACCATTGATCAAATTAGGGAATATGGGAGGAGGGGCACATTCTAGGGGCAGATGAGTCTGCTTTGTCCACCAAGTAGTGAATCTGCAGTATGGCTCTGGAGCTTAGGATTTAGAGACTTGGGAGATGTCAGCCTCTCTACAAGAGAGAAAAACATGGGCATGAATATGACTTAGGAACAGAGTATTGAGTGAAGAGAGAAAGGAACCATAGGTGGAATGCTAGGCAGTAGCAAAAATTAAGAAGCAGGTAAAGGGAGAAAAGCTAAGCAGGTGAGTGATGTATTTGACGAGGCATATTTGGCCAACTGAAAAATCAGCTGTCCTGTGTTTCGGGGTGCTTTGTTTTACTTTTGCTTTTCAGAAAAGAGGAGAATGTAAGTTTCCAGCCTCTTAGAGAAGTTGCTGTGATGATGAGGTCAGCTCTATTCTTTAACTCCAGGTAGGGAGGTAGCAGGCTTCTTATGTATCTCAGAGCTAAGAGGAGAAGTTTCCAGGTAGGGGAGACTCACCTGTAAAGCCTGGGCCCAAATAGGGAATTAAAATCGATTGGTTAAAACTGCAGTCCTCCTCCTACCAGCAGTCCTCCTACCAGCAGTACCAGCATCAGCTGGGAGCTTGTTAGAAATGCCCCACCCCATGCCTAGGAAATGAGAATCTGCATTCTAAGATCCCTGGGTAATTCACACCTACAATGAAGTATGAGAGGCATTGTCCTAAGGAGGGATGGTATGGAAATTGTGGAATTTGAGGGATGAAGAGGAGGGTGCCCCAACTCTTATGGAGTCTAGAGGACCTGGAGCAAAAAGATTTGCAAGTGCATGGTGAAGAGGAGATGGACCTGGGCCCACACAACTGCAGCACCCGATGGGTACTAATGGGGCCTGAGTACTAACTCGGGTGACCATTAAATCTGGCCGTTAGATCAAGCATAGTTTCCAATGAGCAATGAGGTCGAAACCAGATTGCAACAGTTGAGTAGCAAATGGAAGATGAGAAAATGTACCCAATGAGAAGAGAGTAAGGAATCTAGGAGCTTGACTACAAAGGGAAGGAAATAGGGGTGACAGACAGCAGGCTGAAGAGGGAAGGTGGACAAGAGGTGTTTGTTTCATTTTGTTTATGATGATACTCGATAAGACCTTAGAGGAAGGAACCAATGAGGGGAAGGAGGTTGCTTGAAAGAGGTTAGTGATGAGACAAGACCCTTAGCAAGGATGGGAAGGGATAGAGGTGAGCAGTATTCAGAAGGCAGAATCAACAGGGCTTAGTGACTGATTAGACACTTGGAGGTGAGAGGAACAGCAGTTGATTTCCCTAGTGGTTTTGACTCCACGGGAGACACGGTGAAATACAGAAGGAATGAATATTATTGCAAGGGTTTGGCTCTGGTTTGGATCAGAATTTAGGAAGATTTAGGCAGTATCTATTTTTCAGTGTTCAAGAAACATAACATTTTTGTTTAAGTATTATCATAGAACAAGTTCTGGCTGTCCTGTCTTAGAGGCAGAGGAAGTGTAGCAGGAAAATACTGGACTTGGGGTCAGAAGCCCTAGACTGACAGCCTTAAATGTGACCTGAGGGAATGAGTTGACACTTCTGGCTTGCATTTCTCTCATATTCATGAATGAGACAAAAGCAGTGGCATACCATGGGTGGGCAGAGGGAGTGCCGGCCTGGGTGCAGTTGATCAGGGGGTGCACTGTCTGTAGAGAATTTTGAAACAATAATAAAACTAAATGTCAGTCTGCATTTTTGTTATCACCACGTGCTAACAATTCTAAAGAATGTCAATGATAAAATACTCCCCACCCTCGGTAGCCATAGAATAATAATCAAATTTCACAGTGTACCTTGTTAGATCAGGGGAGATGTGTGTGTACATTACAAAATGCTATAAACTTCTAAACAATCTATGTGTCTTTTTTTCTTCAAATTAATGTGACTTGTGAAATTTAGAGATAGTAGTTCTATTTCTATTAAAATAAAGTACAGCAAATCTCCCTAATCTGTAGAAAATTTCTTGGTCATATTTAGTGTTATTTTTTGGAGGTAAGTGAATTTTTTACCACAGATTTTAAGAGATAATGAATGGAAAACATTAGTTTTTGTGTATTTAATAGGGAAATCAAGAACATTAACTTTATAGCCTTCCTTTTGGTCAGGTAATTCAATCAGAGACCTAATAACTGGGTCTACACAGACTTGCTGGATGATACAGCCAGTTGAAATGAATTAATTACTTCACTGTATGCTCAAAAAAAGAAATACTATTACTTACCTCAAAAAAGAGTCTACTGATTCAAGGCTGACAGAGTTCAGAGCACAAATTAAGGTCAAAACAATGAATCTAAAATAAACTGAGAAAATACCCCCCATCCACCAGAAAAAAAGTCTACTGAATATTGAGAAAATCACATGGTGAATAATTTTTAATACTTCATTTTATAATGACTGATAATGATCAAATTTTATTTTTTAACAGGTTCACAATTAACTAGTAAGAATGCCAATAGTTAACATGTCCTTCATGTTTTAAATTACCTGGCATGTAGTTGGCAGAGTATGTGACTTGCCCCAGTGTAGAGATTGATTGATTGACTCCTACTGTGTACCTATACTTCAGTAATGCAATAAACAACCCCTTTTATAAGAGCCTTAAAGATATATCAAAAGCCTGATTCTTGATCTTCTCTCACGAGTTTACGGGTATAGGAGCTGGGCTCTGCAGCACAGAGGACATCCCTGCAGCAGCTACAACAACTCTCACCCAGAGAAGCTGACCACCCCATTCCTTCCCAGTTTATGACTGCTAAGTGTTGAGGACTTTATAATAAGCTGTCTCCCTTGCACGCTGCTTAGAGAGAGGGCATTATTTTACTCAAAAACTGGAAGACTAAAATAATGAACTTGTAAGACTCGTTGCTGTGAGGGCTACAATTGAAGCTATTATTCAAAGAGCATTTAATACAGAATATTATAGTAATTACCACAGAGGAATATTTAAAAGTAACAAGAACTAAGGTTTTAATTTTACCTGATATGTTAATAATTAGAAAAGTATTCTGTATTTTGTATTCTATAAGCAAAATTTATACTAATACACATGTATAAATATGAGGAATAATGACTTTATATTTAACCACAGTGTATTATTTTAAGAAGACTGTTAGTTGGCTTACATGTACAATTTGGATACAGTTTTCCATGTAATTCAGAGAAAATTTACTTATGATAACAATTTAAAGAAAGCCCTTAAAAGTCATATAAGTCATTTGAGAAGAAATCCATCCCTCAGTGGGTCATCATCTTCTACTATAAAGCTTGCTGTACCTGTGTAATGGGCTTGTCCAGATACTTCCACTATAACAGCTTTAAAATCACCACATTTTACTTCCTGAAAAAAGAAGGTGAAAGGAGAATATCAAGATACTGCCCTCATAGTTTATCTAGCCTAAAAGTTGTATTCTCAATTTTTATCATTTTAAAGAGAACCCAAGAGTTAATCATATAGGCAATGGGAGGTTTTTAAGGTAAGTGACTGGATTTGTGTTTTTGATTTAGTTTAGCTGTAAAGTAGGGAACAAATTGGAGAGGAGAGAGACTAGAAACCCAGCAATCTGTTAAGAGGAACCTTAATTCATCAATTAAATCTAGAGACAGGAGGGCAGTTTTTAGAGAATGGAGAACAAAATATAGAGATACTTTGGGGGCAGAATTGATAGACCCGGGGACTGATGTACGTAGGATGTGAGGAATAGAGATGAGTTAAATATGACCATAGTTTCTAGCTTGGAAGTGAAGCTGGCACCACCATTAGCTGAGATGGGGAATGAGACAGGAAGAACACATTTAGGAAGGGAAGAACTTGTAAACAAGTTGAGTTTGAAATATCTCTGGGACAATCATCTTGAGATGAGTTTAGTGGACAGTGTCAGACTCAGGAGAGAGGCACAGGTAAGCATGGTAGGGATGAAGCTTTGGGAGTCATCATTAGTGGGTGGTTGAGAGTTGAGTTCACTCTCACGTGGGTGAAACTGCCCATCTGCATCAAACGTTTGCCTAAGAGCAAGAAAATATGGTGGTTAACAGCACAGGCTCTGCTCAGAGGGACCCACATGCATAGCCTGGCTCTGTTACCTGTCTGTTTGACCTCTGGCAAATTATCTAAACTCCAATTCTCCATTTTATCACTTGTGAAAAAAGGATGATAACATTACTGACCTCAGAGGATTCTTGGGAGAATTAAAAGAGACGGTATATGTGAAGTGCTTAGCTTGGAAACTGACACATAGTCAAGCACCCAATAAATGTCGATTATTATTTTGTCTTGAGTCTCGGACTTGAAGATAATGTATTCCAAGTTTTTGCATATGACGTAAATGGTTTGGTATCCCATAAGATCAGCGTATTATATATGAATCCCTAACTTAAAGCAAATTCCATATTCAGAAAAGAACAAACTTTAAAAACAGCTACATTAGGATATAAAAGTCTTTATTAGGCTAAGTTATCTGCTATATTAAAGGACTCTGTGAGTAGATTCATTTATTAGACGCAATTTAATCATACTACAGTAGACTTTACTTACTACTATGCGTAAATTCATTAATTAGCTGTTAGCTCATTTATAATTTGATTCCGTTACAAAAATACCTTCCACAACTTTTCAGGACTTTCACATCCTATTATATAAAATGGAACATTCCTATAGAATAAAAACAAAAAAAATTCAAACCCTAATTTAATGGTTCTCAAACATTTTGGTCTCAGGATTCCTTTATACCCTAAGATTTGAGGACCTCACCCACCATTACCCTGATACCCAAACCAGACAAAGACACTTAAAAAAGAAAATTACAGGCCAATATCTTTGATGAATAGAGATGCAAAAATCCTCAACAAAATATTAGCAAACCAAATCCAAGAATACATAAAAAGGATCATACACCATGATCAAGCTGGATTTATACCAGGGTCACAAGGATGGTTCAACATATACAAATCGATCAATGTGATATACTACATTAACAAAAGGAAAGACAAAAACCACATAATCATCTCAACAGATGCAGAAAAAGCATTCAACAAAATTCAACATCCATTCATGATTAAAAACTCATCAAAGTGGGTATAGCAAGAACATATCTCAACCTAATAAGGGCCATTTATGACAAACCCACAGCTAGTATAATACTCAATGGTGAAAAGCTGAAAGCCTTCCCACTAAATTTAGGAACTAGACTAGGATGCCCACTTTCACCACTTCTATTTAACCTAGTATTGGAAATCCTAGCCATAGCAATCAGACAAGAAAAAGAAATAAAAGTTATCCATATTGGAAAGGAAGAGGTAAAACTGTCACTATTTGCAGATGACATGGTACTCTATATAGTGAATCCTAAAGTCTCCACTCTAAAACTATTAGAACTAATAAATAAATTCACCAAGGTTGTAGGATACAAGATTAATATACAAAAATCCATCACATTTCTATACACCAATAATGAACTATCAGAAAGTAAAAAACAATCCCATTTAAAATCAGGTCAAAAAAATAATACCTAGGAATAAACTTAACCAAGGAGGTGAAAGACCTATATGCTGAAAACTATAAAACACTGATGAAGGAAACTGAAGATGATTTAAACAAATGAAAAGATATTCCATGCTCTTGGATTGGAAGAAATAATATTATTAAAATGTCCATACTACCCAAAGCAATCTACAGATTTAATGCAACCTCTATCAAAATATCCAGGCCATTTTTCACAGAACCAGAACAAAGAATCCTAAAATATATATGGAACCATAAAAGCCCCCAAATTGCCAAAGCAATCCTGAGGAAAAAGAATGAAGCTGGAGGTATAACCCTCCCAGACTTTGGACTATACTACAAAGCTACAGTAATCAAAACAGCATGGTATTGGCACAAAAACAGACAAATAATTCAATGGAACAGAATAGAGAGCCCAGAAACAAAGCCATACACCTATAATCAATACACGACAAAGGAGGCAAGAATATACAATGGAGAAAAGACAGTCTCTTCAATAAGTAGTGCTGGGAAATCTGGAAGAAGAGAACATAGGCACCCTTTGACATAGTAGTAGCAATATTTTCTTGGATCTGTCTCCTAAAGCAAAAGAAATAAAAGCAAAAATAAACAAATGGGGCCTAATTAAACTTAAAGGCTTTTGCACAGCAAAGGAAATCATCAATAAAACAAATAGACAGCCTACGGAATGGGAGAAAATACTTGCAAATGATGTGACCAACAAGGGCTTAATTTCCAAAATGTACAAATAGCTCATACAATTCAATATCAAAAAACCCAAACAATCCAATCAAAAAATGGGCAGAAGGGACTTCCCTGGTCATCCAGTGGTTAAGACTTTGCCTTCCAATGCAGGGGGTGTGGGTTTGATCCCTGGTCAGGGAGCTAAGATCCCACATGCCTCAGGGCCAATAAACCAAAACATAAAACAGAAGCAATATTGTAACAAACTCAATAAAGACTTAAAAAATGATCCACATCAAAAAGTCTTTAAAAAAAAAATGGGCAGAAGACTTGAATAGACACTTTTCCAAAGAAGACATACAAATGGCTAACAGGCACATGAAATTGTTAGAGAAATGCAAATCAAAACCACAATGAGGTATCACCTCACACCAATCAACATGGCTGTCATCAAAAAGTCTACAAATAACAAATGTTGGTGAGGATGTGGAGAAAAGGGAACCATCCTATACTGTTGGTAGGGATGTAAGTTGGTGCAGCCACTATGGAAGACAATATGGAGGTTCCTCAAAAAATTAAAAATAGAACTACCATATGATCCAGCAATTCTACTCCTGGGTATATATCTGAAAAAATGAAAACACTAATGCAAAAACATGCATGCACCCCAATGTTCATAGCAGCACTATTTACAAGAGCCAAGATGGGAAAGCAACCCAAGTGTCCATCAACAGATGACTGGATTAAAAAGATGTGGTACACACACACACACACACACACACACACACACACACACTGGAATATTACTCAGTCATAAAAAACAGTGAAATAATGCCATTATTATGGATGCCATTATTATTATTAACGTAGATGGAGAGACTATTGTGCTTAGTGAAAGTCAAACAGAGAAACACAAATACTACATGATATCACTTATTTGTAGAATCTAAAAAATAATACAAATAAATGTATATGCGAAACAGAAACATACTCACAGATATAGAAAACAAACTTGTGCTTACCAAAGGGGAAAGGAAAGAGGGTAGGGACAAATTAGGGGTATGGGATTAAAAGATACAAACTACTATCTATAAAATAGATAAGCAACAAGGATATTACTGTATAGCACAGGGAATTATACCCAACATCTCATAATAACCTATCATGGAATATAATCTGCAAAAATACTGAATCACTATATTTTATACCTGAAACTAACACAATACTGTAAATCAACTATACTTCAATTTAAAAAGATTTTAGGACCTCAAAGAGTTTTTGTTTATTTCAGTTATATCAATTAATATTTGCTATATTGGGAATTAAAGGTATTTGTTAAGAACCTGCTGTATAAAAACAGTAAATAAAATTCTAAAATTCAAAAAAAAATAAAGATATTTGTTCATTAATACATTTAAAAATAATAAACCGATTACATTTTGTCATAAACAACAAATTTTTGTGAAAATAACTATATCTGCCAAAACAAAAAAAATTAATGAGAAATATGGCATTTTTTACATTTTTGCAAATCTCTTTAATGTCTGGCATAACAAAAGGCAGCTAGATTCTTGTATTTGTTTCTGCATTCAATCAGTTGGGATATCACCCATCATGTAGCTCCTGGAGAACTCCACTGTACATTTGTGAGAGAATGAACATGAAAAGGAAGCAACATCTCAGTATTATTATGAATATATCTTTGATTTTGTGGACCCATGGATAGGACCCCAAGGTCCTTTCCACACTTTGAAAACCAATATCCTAGCTGAACAGAAGTTTTTTCAGGCCTGTCTTAAAATTCTCTTCTAAGAGCTAAGTGAAGAAACTTATCTAACACCCACCTTAGGTCTCCACAGTCTCAAAAGTAACATACTTACAAATGAGAAGCTAAGGGTGCCACTCACCCTCACAGCCTTCCCTGTGAATACTGAGCCAGTTGCACTGCTTTTAAAGGCTCTAGTCTGGTTCAGTTCTAGAAGTCCTTTGTGATACTGTAGGGCAATTCGGGCTGTCACTCCTGAGCCAGTAGGACTTCTGTCAACCTGTTGCAGAATAAATGAAGATAAGAGTGTTCACAGTGTTCTAGTTCCATATTACCTGGCTGTGTGCCTAAAAATTCCAGTTTTAATACCTGTTCATCTGCAAACACACAGATGTTGGTGGTTGGTTCCTCACTATAAGCGTCTTTTCCATCTGTTAATATAGTTCCATATAGAAAGGCAAGGTCTTCGCTGTCAGGATGATTAATTTTAAACTGTAAATAAAATAATTATCAACCACACATAAAATAAATATTTTCATTCAAACTTATCTTTTAAATAACATATATGGGGTACTCAGACATAATTTTTCCATCTTTATCATTTAAAAAATATTTTTTGGGTCACAGCACTAAATACTAGAAATTATGTCTTTCTCTAGATGAATAAAGATAGTTTTGTTGGAAGTTATGATTTTTATACTTTGAGCCCTTTCTAAGGAAGTCGGCCTGCACATAGCCTCTACTAAAGGAACAGTCCTATTTTATACACATACCTCCCAAAACACATACTCTTTGAACCGCTGACCCCAGCACTGACCCCAGGATGGTCAATTCACAGGCCAGCCATGGCTGCTCAAGCAGGAGGAGCTAAGGCAATCCTACTCTCACCCTCAGGAACTTGAAGGGGATAATGTAGAAAAATTAAGCAATGAGTATCTAGAGCTGAAATTAATACCACTGATAGATACAAGAACTGTCAGAGGCCATGACCAAGCAAAAAGTATAAGGATGCAGAAGCTATTAGGTAAGAGACACAATTGGATGGGTAAAAAAAGACTTATAAAGGATGAAGTTAGTATCATAAAAAGCAGCAGGTACACACAGAGAGAAGCAGGCACTGGCAGGGTAGCTAGGTCACGTCAGTGGTAAAGCTTGGTCAGGTCCAAATGTGCAATGCTTCCTGAACTTGGGAAGTCTGGTTGTTTAACTTCTGGATTCCTGTAATGCCTGGTAGCTTGGCTGAGATTACTATAACCTTACTTCCATTGTATCCTTACAGTTAGTATATTCCACTACCACTTACCTGTCATTTAAAGCAGTTGAAGAGATTTGGATTCTTAAAATCCAAAGAGTCCATCTATAACCCAGTTAAAGAGGCCCGTATATTGGATCTTTGTTCTCTGACCTCTTAAAGCCCCTATGCCCCACCCCCACAATAGCACCAGTACACCACACTGCCCACAGGGATGCTTCCCCCACTAGACTGAGCTCCTTGAAGGTCGTGGGGTTTGTTCTTCCTCTGGGTCTCCAGCATCTAGCATGGTGTCCGACATACCATAAGTCCTTGCTAAATGTTTGCTAAAAGGACAAAGATGAATTTATTTTATATTTACTTTAGCTCCCTCCCCCCGGCAAATTGCCTTTGCCTAAATCTGCATTAGCAGTATGAATAATCAGCAATTCACAAAGTAGTCCTACTGCCTGCTTCACCACTGACAGAACTACTCATATTTTTTTCAGAATCATTCCTCCCTCAAAGTCCACCCCTTGCCACCTTGGTGAGAAGTTCTAGCTTTGAGAACTTCAAAATTACTCCTTTTATTAAGAAAACAATGCCTTTTTCTCTTGATTTTATTAAAAATAAGGTCAAATTATTTTGTGTCAAACTGTTAAACTATTAGCTGTCTGCTTACTAGAACAGAAAATGGATGTAAATTCAGAGTTTCAGAAGTTACTATGATAAAATAATTCTACCTATTGGTATTGACAGTCCTGGAAAAATGATAATTTAGAACAGGGATATGGTATATATTCATTTTGTTATTTAAGTTATTATGTTAAAATAAAGCCTCAGATATGTTAAATAGGCCCATAAATAATTAGAAGTATATTAGATTCTATCTTTCCTAAGTTATTTTTTACTTAGAATGATAAATTCTCATATGCTAAAACATTTAAATATGTATATGAGTTTTACATATAGATCCCAATTAGGTAAAATTGAGTTTTATATATAGGTCCCAATTAGGTAAAAAGGCACACTTGTGCTAGAAAGGAAAGAATATTCTAGAATTATGTATTATCTAAACTGATTTCATAACAATAATTTTCCCAAGCCAAACTAGAGTTACTTGAGTGGTTATTTAAGTAACTTCTTAGCAATATAGGAAAAATTCACTAACTAGGAATTAATGTTCTCTGTGAAATAAGAGAAAGTCTGATCAGATTTAATGACATCTATTTTGTAAGCTATATTTTACATTCATTATTTTCAAGGTTTGCAGAATGACCACATATATCAAAGCATTTCAAATTAGTGGAATATTATATAATACATTTTCTATGTTTAAGTAACCACAAATTATATCATGTATTATTAAAGTTAATAATAGTTACCATTTATTGAACATTTACTATGGCTAGGCACTATTCTAAGTCCTTTACACATATTGACTTATTCTTACAACTCCCTATGAAGCAGGTATTTCGTAATTTCCATTTACAGCTAGGAAAACTGAGGCACATGGAAGTTATGTAACTTGTTCAAGGTTATAAAAGCTACAAGTAGCAAAACTACAACTCCCAGGTAGTCTTGCTCTAGAGTCTAAGATTATAAACAGTACCCTATTCTTAGTACTACTGATAATTTGAACTCAGAGATATTTAATTTTCTGTATAGACATGTCATTTATATTCCCTCCATGTCACAGAGGAGGGTATCTGCTATGATAGCATCTGTACTGACCTGAGCTTTCACTGCTTCTGTCACTGCACTTGCTGCATCCATGAGGTCCCTTGTCTTTGTGGAACAAACATCAAGTCCTAACTTTTCAGCACTAACAAACGCATAAAACGCGCCACCATATGCAATGTCCACCACCACCTTTCCATGACCGGGAACATCCACTAGGAGATCTAAAAAAGATGTGTTTGAAAATAAGTTTGTTTTAGTATTTCAGCAATAAAATAAAATTAACAGCATTTAAATATATGTGTGTTTCTGAGGGGTGGGGTGGGGGTATTTTTTCCTATTGTAAAAAGGAATGGAGCAAAAATCCATTTTCAAAATGAGCATGCATCACATAATTAATAATAGAACTTTAGCTCAGTACATCTATTTTTAAGTTAATGAGGTTTGTATAAGTTTTAGAACATGAATGCCATGTTTTTCCTAAATCATACATACATACTTTGTTAACTATTCTGAAGATCTTTTCTAGAAAACATCATAGAGGCAGAGAGAGAGGAAATTCTGGGACATGAATGTGTGAAAACTATGAAGGAAAATGTAGGTGCCTTTCATGCAGATTATCAAAAAAGGGGCCAGCCTGTGGAAGGATGAGGCTAAGTCAACCAACAGGGCAGAGAGGGGTCTCAAATTCAGAAATTAAGTTGTGAAAAATAAAATAGTTCTTGTATTCCTCAGTTTGCACAGTGAGTCATACAAAGATACCAGGGGGCTACCAGTTAGAGTAGAACCACAGGACCCTTTTAACACATGACGTGTCAAAACAGAGCAAGTTTATAATCAACTTGAATAAAACACACCTGTGGAACTTAAGAGCAAAAGTGAATCAAAAATGTCTTTATCTTGATCAGCTGATGCAACATGAAAAGCAGGTCTAATGAAAGGAGACTCAGGAAATAGATGGAAATGTGGGACTGCCAGAATGGGGAAAGCTAAGTGTGGCTTTGAAGTCCTCATGCGTAAAATGGAATTGCTGTTTCCGTCCTAACGGGATTGTTTTGAGAATTCCATGTGATAATGTGTGGGGAATAGTGGGCACAGATTAGGAATACAATAAATGTTAATATTAAAGCCAAAAGTTTAACTTCCAACTAGAATAGGGCTCTTAAGAGGACAGATATTTACATTTGCCAATCAGCATATTCTTCTCTATTTACACAACAAATATTCATTGACTGTGTACTGTTCTAGCACTTAAATACAGTGAATAAAACTAAAGAGTCTTCATTTTAGCTGGGTGGAGTGGAGATGAACTCAGCAATTCTGAGGTAGGGACTGTTGTCCTCCTCATTTTATAGATGACATTGAGGCATGGAATCCCTTCCACAAGGTCACAGAGATGGGGAGGGGCAGAGCCGTGATCTTGGACACTATCCATCTGCCTTTTATGCAATGTTCAAAGTAGAGAATTTAAGGATTTCGTTTTCTTAATGGCTCAAAGTGACCATTAATGCCCACTGATTATATTATGGTCACACAGTGATGCTTTCAGGAACTACTGTGCTTGTGGGGTTGGCTGCCCCTGCCCTAACCAACCCCAAACTATGATGTACGTAGTTGGTGATCCTGCTGCCAGCTGTCATTTTCCACAAAATCTAGAGTGCTTCTAATCTGCTGCTGGGGTGGCCTACGGGGAAATCAGGTAGCCAAGCTAGTTAACTGCTGAGGTTTTTAAAGATGCAATCCTAACATAAATTCCTGTCTCCCTCAAGTTCCCTCCCAATCCGGACACGACACCATTCTTTCCGGGAAACTGGCATCAGTTTGCCCAGTGGCATTTTTTTTTTTTTTTTTTTTTCGGGACGCGGGCCTTCACCCTTTTGGCGT